CCCTACCCCCTTCCCCACCCCTTTTTAGGTAAATACCAGGATACCCTTATCCAAATAAGTCTGGGGCACCAGGGTTTGGGAATTATCAAGAAGGAGGGAAGGAGCGCAGTGGGGTCCAGCCCTGCCGTTCCCTTTTGCCTGCCGTTGGCCATGGGAGCATTGCTGACCCTTGCTCCGGGCCACGCAGGCAGGATTAACTCTGGTTTGCTCTATCTGGAGGCTCAACGCCTTCGTCCTGTTCCTGTGCGAAGCCCCTTTCTGCTGCCAGTTTATCGAGTTTGCGAACGCCATCTCTGCGAGGGCGGACAAGCTGCGGCCCTGGCAGAAAGCCGCTTTCTACTGCGGGTGAGGATGCGCCCGGGGCTGGGTGGTGGGACGTTGGGCGTGTGGGTGTGTTGCGGCACTGAAGCCTCCCCGGGGACCGCGTTGGGATGCACACGGGCACGCTGCGGTGGACGAGCATCCCCGCATCGCGCGCTGAGCGGAGCCCGGCTTTGAGGGCTGCCTCTGTCTTCCAGGATGGCTGTATTCCCGGTCATGCTCAGCCTGACGCTGACCACGCTCTTTGGAAATGCCATTGCATTTGCCACCGGAGTCCTTTATGGCCTGTCGGCGCTTGGCAAAAAGTAAGAGAGATCTGTCTGCTTGTGCAGGGGAGGGAAGGGGAAGGTGGACCTCCAGCCCTCGCCCCCATTTGCCCCCCGGAGGCTATGCTTTCCTCTTGTACTAGCCACGCTTTCAAGTGTAAATGCTGCCGGAGCACATCTCCCTGCCATCATCTCAAATCCCTGGGAGGGAAGGTCCTAGGGTCTGCTGAAGCTCTGAGCTTTTCCTTGGGAGCTCAGTCTAGGTTGCCCTGTGGGTCCCAGTCCTCTTTCCACAGCTGTTGGATGGGTGGGCTCAGCTCTGGGGGTGGTGAGCGGCTTTGGTGGGGTGGGCGAGCGCCAGCAAGTCTCGTTTCACTCCTGGCATCCCGCGGCACGGAGAGGCCCTGGCCCCAGTTGAGAGATCTCTGTGCCAGGTGCTTACCCACCATGGTGGGCACCCGGAGCTCACGTCCCCACGCCGTCCTGTCTCTCTGCAGGGGAGATGCCATTTCCTATGCCCGGATCCACCAGCAGCAGAAGCAAATGGATGAAGAGAAGCTGACGGGGGCCCTAGAGGGACAGGCTCTCTGAAGCACGCAAGCTCAGGTTAACCTGTCCTGGACACTGAGATGTTGGTGAAGATACAGAAATCCACTCTACCCTTCCCTCTGCCCGTTCCCCTCTCTGTTATGCTGCCATTTCCCTGGACACTGCAGCAACTGGAAATCTCAGGGGCTGGGGTGGGCTGTGTCCTCTTTTCACACCAGCAGCCAGATCTCAGTGCGTTGGCCCCTCTCCTCAACCAAATATCTCACAGTCCCCCTATTTTTTAATTTTTATCTCTTTTTTTTTTTTTCTGCAGAGGTGCTGGCTCTTTGAGTGCTGATTTACAAGCCTGAATAGGTAGCCTTTCTTTGGAATGACGTCTGATAATGAGCCGAGGATGCAGTGCTCGTTTGGGAACTGCTCTCCGGACGGGGTGAGGAGGGACAGAGCTGACATGCCAGCTCCTTGCCTGTGCTGGTCTCATGCCTGGGGATAACCTGCCTTTGCACGTTTTTAGTAACGCTCTCTGGTGTGGCCCTTCCCAGGTATAATACACTAATCCAGGGTTTAGCAATACATGATGATGCTTAAGCTTGGTCTTCTTCCATTGAGTATATTTTAATATGGGTCCAGTTAGGCCAGGCATCAGAGGCATTGCAGGAAAGGACTTCCAGCAAAAAACCTGTATAAAGGCAATAACCATCTCTGCAGAGGAGCTGCCAGAGGTGCTGGGGCAGATCCTGATACCTGCAAAGCACAGTCCCCCCTTCCTCTGGATACAGCTGCAAGCAGTTGCTGCAATTTACTTGAATTATAAGAATTAATTAATTTGTCTTAATAAGGGTACTTTTCTTAAGCTTCACACTTTTACTGGGGGAGAAGTGAGGTTTGCTTTACATCAGCTGAAAACGGGTACAGTTGCTTGAGCCGGGAAGGGTTTTTTGCTGGTGTAAGGGTTACTGACGTGCAAGAGCATCCTTCTCTGAGACTCTGCTCTGTTCTCTCTCGCTCCCCGCGGCCGCTCTTGCTCCTGTGCCCCATCCCTCTGCGCAAGGGACCTGCTCTTTGCTGCTGTCTGGTACGGCCTTTCTCTTTGGGCTCATGTTATTTTCGTGTCAGTCCTGGGCTGGTTTTGTACGGGAAGGTGGCATAGCCTTCCTTTGCAAACGCAGAGGAGTCTGCACCATTTCAGTGTGGATAACTGGGATGTCTTGCTGCTTTATCCCAGGCTCCATCAGTGGTTCTTGCATCATGTTTTCTGTTTGCTTTGTATCATGCAGAACAAAACTGCTCGCAGAGTCCAGATCCCCCTCTTCTCGTGACGGTTTCTTTTGGGATTTTTAATTTATTTCATTTTACAGGATTCCTTTTTATTTTAAGAAAAAGGGGAATAATTTATTTCTCGTTATTTAAGTATTTTGATGGGACTCATTTTCTCTGGACACAGGAGAAAGGAGTGCCCTGTTTCCTGTCCTTCAAAGGACTGCCTCATGTCGTCGGGGGGTCTCTGAACCCAGGGACAGCCCTGGCTGCTGTAACTGGGGTACCATAAAATCCTACTTCAGCCTTCAGAGCATTTCTCAGACTTTTGGAAAATGTGTTGTCCTTTGACCCCTTCATTGTCTTCTGGGCCACTGGCTTGACAAATTTTGTCTTCCCCCTCTTCTGGGAGAGAGAAGGGAGAAAAACTGGGCTGTTGCTGCCGGATGGGAGGCTTGCGCTCACCCAGCAGCCCAGGCAGGTCGCAGCCATGGTGAGCAGTGGCAGCGGGGACTGCAGCCTGTTCTTACTGCGCTGCCCTGGGAGCTGAGCTCCTGCTGCCACCACCGCTTCGTGGTCCCATTTGAATCAGCGGGGTACGAGAGGGCTACGCTGGGGTCTGAGAGACACTGCTGGAGGCTGAGTGCTGTCTGTCAGAAGGGTCTGTCCGCCAGCCGCCCTGTGGCTTCTGAGCAGCGTTGTGTTGGAAAATATCTGTATAACGTCTTCCTCTAGGTACGGTGCGTGTTCCTGTTAGCCAAAAGGCACCGGAACATCCCTGGCAGGGCCGGG